TTTCAGGCTCTGTGAATACCAACGCTGGAGGCCGCTCGGTAGACCTCCTGGAACTGAATGCATTGCTTATAATGCGAGGAAGAAGGCGAGCGTGAATTGTCGGATGTGGCGGAATGGGTAAAGTGGGTAAAGGTGGTCGATTGACGGTAGGGGATACGCTATGTCCTCCTGAGGTCGAAGGACGAGGAACAAGCTGAGGGGGTTCTGAGGGACGTGAACGTGTGGAAGCTGAACGTGTCAGAGTTGGGAACCTTTCCTCAGCCCCGGGTATGGGTATTGTCGGAGATGTTGGAGATGTGGGGGACTCCAGAGGAGTATCGTACATCACAGGGACATTAGAGTGGGGGGCATCAGACGAACCACTGCCGTTGAAGATGCCAGCCAGTACTGACCACCTCCTTCTTCGCCTTTCAGAAAAATTCGTAGTACTCGGGCGGCGCCGTAAAGAGCGACTGTCCTGTGATGGAGGACTGAGTGGCGCATCATCATCTGTACCTGATGGAGTTGCCCCGATCATAATCGGAGCTTGTGGTCTCGTTGTCCCTGCTGGTGGGAGGTCAGGAACTCTGCTCTCCAAAAGAGCCTGAGCAAGCGTTATACGGTCGATTGTACCAGTCACGCCGTCGTCGTCATCATCATCTAGATCGATATCTGGAACAGGGCGTCTTTGAGGTGGCTCATCAGCGGGAGCCGGCGTTGGAGGTGTTGTGCGAATGCTTGGCGGCGAACTCCGCAATGCTTGTCGAATGGTCTGCAGGGTTGGAGACGGTTCAGGGGGTTGAGCTAGTATCGTGTTCGGTTGCGCCAGAGTCAGATCTAAGTTCGCGGGACGATTCCTTCGACTATATGTGGCTGAACTGCGTACGGGAAGTGACGTAGAACCACCTTCGACGGTATCGCTGTTTCGGGGTGGGGGAATAGCGCTAGTGCGTTCATCCAAAGCTTGACTACCGCTTGCACCTGCGGTTAGTACATCGATGGCTTCATCGTCACTCGCCTCGAGCCAATCTACAGTCTTGGCCATCTGGTCTTCCTGCTCTGTACCGGAACCCATATTGGGTAGGGATGGGACGGGGGGGACGATTACGTGAGAAAGGGACGAACGACGGGACCTTGAGAGGTTAACCGAAATGGTGGATGGTTGTGTCTGCAAACGGGGTCGAGTGATTTCGGTTACTGCAGAATAAGGTGGGGGCTGTTCGGCTGGCTGGCGGGGCGTTACAGGTTGGACTGTGGGCGGCCTGGGCAATTTCTGCGTTGAGGTTATCGGTAATGACGACTTTCTAAGAAGCTTTTCTGTCTTGAGAACCTGCCCCGAGCGTGTCAATGACCTGAATTTCGCCTCGGTTGAATCTACACTGGAGTTGCCAGATCCTACCCTCTTCGATTCCTCTCTCCTAGATCGTTCACGTTCTCGCCGAGTCTCAACCTCCATACGCCACTCTACGGCTTTTTTGACTTCCTCCAACGCATAAACACGAACACCGTCTCGTCTGCCTGCTATGGCTACTAATACACCGCGATGTTCCATGACGACCACACTCTTGAAACTGACCCTGCGCACCAGCGCGTAAGGATGAGCGGCTGGGGGAGACACGAGAGGAAGGACATCAAGTCCTTGGGCATGGCACAGAAGAAGGTAGTGAGGTGCCATAAAAGTTCCACTGGTAGGAGGAGTGGTAAAGTGTGAAGGAGATAAATCTTCTGTGACGACTGATAGGGAGAGACCGAGTTCTCTCAGAGTTGGAGGGGCGAGTGAAGGTGGAGGCGTAAGAGGTCTGGTAGGCGTAGGAGGTGGAGATATGGACCTAGAATCAGACTGAACTGGGTCGGTTGGCTGCGGCCCATCATCTCGAGCAGATGTTCGGGAAGAAGATGGGGTAATTGTATCCCTCCGATGTATTAAATTTGACCAAAAGCCAGAGAGGCGATTGGAGGGACGTGCCTGATAGAAAATTATTCGACTGAGGCGGAAGTAGTGGTTGTAACTCACATCCATGGCAGACCTGCGATTGTTTCTGGTTGAATTTGATCGTTCAATTAGCCTATTACTTGGTTCCGACAACGGATCTGTGGACGCAGTAGTGGGTGTTTGAACTGAGGAAGCGGGTATGACGGGCAGGCTGTGGATGCTTGCATTATCAAGGGACTGTTGAGTATTCGTGGGAAGAGAAGCTGTGTCCGTCGCAGGTTGAATGGCCGATTCAGTATTAGTAGTCTTCGGAGTACTAGTATCGACAACTTTGATGGCGGTGACCGTCAGACCCTGAGGACTTGAATTCATGTCCACGGTATTATCCTGTCCATCGTCGGGAATGACCACTGGGGCATCTCCACACTGGCCTACAAGACTATGAACTTCGTCCATTGTGGAGGAAAGAGCGACAGAGCGCGGTTCCCTCTCTGCCAGCGAGATGAGACTATAAGTGAAAGAGACAAGAGCCCCGTTTACCCGTGACTTAGTACAAATGCAAATGGCCGAGACCAATGATTTATTATCCCACGCCACGTCAGTGTGAACAACCCTCTCTAGTATAGGTATTTTTACTTTGGACCAACTTTGGACCAGGTCATCCGACGGTCGTCCTTCGCGGCAGTTTGTTATTGCTCATTCCCAACCACGTTCGTTATTGCAGAGCGTAACGTTTCAGCGATCTGCGCCATGCTTCGTCTACACAATTCTATTCGTCCAGCATTTCGCTCTCGTAGATGGGCTCATAATATCCCTACGTTTTCTCACCTGAACTCCGTCAACGAAGAGGATATCGCACACTTCTCCAGTATACTCGCACCCACGTCTATACTATCAACTTTGTCATCAGTCTCCACCCCCGCAGATGATATTGCACCCTACAATGTCGACTGGATGGGAAAATATCATGGTCAAGCCAACTCCGTGCTCAGACCCCGCACGACACAACAAGTTAGCGAAATTGTCAAGTATTGTGCTCAGCGTAAAATTGGAATCGTCCCCCAAGGCGGTAATACTGGCCTAGTCGGTGGTGGTATCTCTTTGCAGAAAGAAATCGTTCTCAGCTTAGGCGCAATGAACAATGTTCGGTCTTTCGACCCTGTCTCTGGTACTTAGCCTGTACCTTATTATAATGTGACTCTATATTCTATTCCAGGTGTCCTCGTCGCCGATGCTGGGTGCATTCTCCAATCCCTGAGTGAATATATTGCCCCTCACAATCACATCATGCCCCTTGATCTCGGTGCAAAGGGAAGGTGTGTAGAGCTGTACTATATATCCAGCAAATTAATTTAACGGACCCTTTCAAGTTGTCAAATCGGTGGTAATATTTCCACAAACGCAGGTGGTCTCAGACTCCTACGTTACGGATCTCTGCATGGCACCGTCCTAGGATTGGAAGTAGTTCTACCAGACGGTACAATTCTGGACCAGCTATCAACCCTGCGAAAGGATAACACTGGTAATTTTAAAAAGTTTCACCCAGGATTTAAGTTATCCTAACTTTTGATAGGTTATGACCTTAAGCAACTCTTCATTGGTGGAGAGGGTACACTCGGTATCGTTACCGGGGTCTCCATCCTCACACCTCCTGCACCCCAGGCCACCAACAACATATTTTTGGCATTACCCCGCTTCGACAATGTTTTACCACTCTTCCAAACTGTGAAACGCCAACTTGGAGAAATCATGTCTGCTTTCGAGTACATCGACCGCACCGCTTACGACATGGGTTTGCAACACGGTCTTGGCCCTTTGCTCAGCGCAGATGAAGTTGGCGACTCGCAATGTTTTGTACTGGTCGAAACCAGCGGTGGGAACCAGGATCACGATTTAGAGGTGCTGTCATTTTCCTTGTGGTCAGTGTGTGAACTAATGCTTGGATAATCCAGAAACTTAACAATCTTCTGGAGAGCTTGCTGACCGCCGATGAACCGCTGATTAACACCGGTGTTCTTTCCCAGTCACCTACTCAATTCAACTCGATATGGGCTCTGCGTGAAGGCTTGACTGAATGTGTTCAGAAAGAAGGCAAACCATACAAATATGACGTTTCTGTCCCCCTTGCAGACTTCCAAAATGTCGTCGATGCTGTTCGGGAACGCATGATTTCGAAAGGGCTCTACGGAGATCACGCAATTTCCAAGGTCATGGGATACGGCCACGTTGGTGACGGTATTACTATCTCCCCATGCTACCTCAAGGCCAGACCACTTATTCCTTCGTAGGAAACCTGCATCTTAATGTGATCGCCAAGCATGGATACCGCCCAGAGCTTGAGGCAGCTCTGGAGCCTTTCATCTATGAAATTGTCGGTGCGTATTGCTTCTCGCAGAAATTTACTGTTGCGGCTGTTGACGATCATCTTGATTCAGCTGATCGCAAGGGCTCGGTGTCCGCAGAGCATGGCATTGGATCGATGAAGAGGGATGCGCTGCATTACTCTAAGAGTGAAGTCAGTATTGAGTGGATGAGGAAGGTCAAGCAGGTTTTTGATCCTTTGAATATCATGAACCCCGGGAAGGTTCTTCCATAGAGCTGAGTATATATCATGGCGTTGATGTGACTTTAAGTTTCATCACTGAGCGCTCACCTCCCACGGGAACATGATAGCATACCTCCTTATGCATTTACTTCGCATTTACTAGGGTCGCAATGGATCTTTCAATGAAGTGCTCCGCATTCTAATTATTACGAAAATCAGAAACGTGAGTACAGCTATGGCATTGCATGAGCTGTTTCATGTAGATCACAATAACAATCAGTCAGACTCTTACACACTCACACGGGTCGTTCCTCTGGAGGGTCGAACAAACAGATCCTCGGAACTGATGCTGACGTGGGGAACTCCCGGACCGGACTGAGGCTAAGTACTTTGATAGACTATTGTTGGGCTAGGGTTGGGCTGGTTTATTAATGTTGTTGGCGGCCATAAAACATGTCTCACGTCGCCAATATTAATTGTGACAGGCCGCTGCCAGATTAAACTCAAATGTATCACGGAAAACGATAGGGTTCAGTAGGAACCATGCTGGTAGTATGGTTTAATTTTTATTATCCATGGTGATTATCGTCGAGTGACCATGAGTGATATATATACCAGCCATAGGGCACTGCGCGGGGAAACAGTGCACCGACGTGGGTCTATACCATATAACTGTTAATCAGGCCCTGACTACTGTCAGGACTCAGGATAGTAGTATCCTCAAACTATCGAGATGATAACGACGAGCTGGTTGATTGAAGTTCAGTGATTTTCGATAGCAGGCGTTGACGGAATTACCAGATCTCCTATAATGAACACTCCATTGTTCGAGTGGACGAAACATATCAGTAAGGAGCAGAGCGGCACCCACACTATCGGCATTCTGCCCTTTGTAGAACAAAATGCAGAGACACTGCATTCGATCATCCAGATGCGATGTGACAGCAGTCCTGGCAAGTTTATATGAAGCATAATACCGCGCTTATGCAGAAGTGCGCTTACCAGTAGTCGACAAATTAGTTGTAAGTGTGAAGACAATGAACACCGCGACCCAGTGACCAATCTCACTGGTAAAGACACTTCTGAAATCGCTCCCCGCTTGCGAATAGTGAAAAAAACCCGAACATTTCAGGGCAACATCGGAGCACACAACTTTCTGAACGTGATGGCGACCTTACTTGCAACACCACACCACATTGCGCATGGTAGAATGATGATCGGACAGATCTCCAAACGACGTAACATCGATAAATCTTTTGCCAGAAAGGCGGATTCCATGAGCCAAGAGTGTTTCAAGCTTGTAGGTTATAGAATCAATCGTACCATCACCCCGTCGCCAAGCAGAGTTTGCAAATTGTAATGTGTATATCGCACACTTTACAACAAACATTTCTTGGGAAACGTCTGCAAAGAAAGCCGCTGGTCTGCCTGGGAACGTGTCGCGAAACTTCACCAGTCCATCTTCGATATGAATGATGACTACCACCATGTGCTTGGGAGACTTTAGCAGATGATATAGGACGCAAGCAGCGAGGAGCTAACCACAGTACTCAGCAAGAACATCAGAGTTGCAACCGCAGCGATTGGCCAATTGATATCCTGGATGCGTTGTTTGTAGGTGAGTGTCCAGATACTACCTGTCAATCTTGTTATCAACTCACCTGGTCACTAGTAATACATCTGCATCATAAGAAGTCCAGTGGGTTTCAGCGCCCGACCTCACGCTAGATGTCAAATTCTGTAGAGTAGGCTAGCATCCCCAAATGGGTGGATGGTGTCTACTGTCGAAGATGTCACGGTGTACGGTCCAGTTCTGTAAAGCAGTGATCAATATCAGTTTATGCAATGAAGCACTCTGCTGTGAATGAGGAGGCTGGGTCCTGCAAGACTGCTGTTTCGCTGAATCTAAGGTTTCCAGTTTGGTACCCATGTCGTCTTTAGACTAAACCTGGCTAACGCTTCTCCGGTGTCAAAAGGATTCAGCCACCGTGAATATAGAACGTATAATTCAAGAAAGTTATCTAAGAAGTAAGCTGTCCTCGGACTCTGAGCATCGGAGGGTCGATCAAGTCATTTGTGTCTTGTCCTTGTTATTTTCTGGGTACAACTGCAACACAATCAACACCATCCGAGCAATTGGGAATTGAATAAGGCACCTTTCCAGGATTGAACAAGTTCAAAGGATCGATGGCATTTTTGACGGTTTTCATCAGTTCCACGGTATCCTCGCCCAGTTCTTCCACAAGATACTCCGTTTTGCCTACCCCTACACCGTGTTCGCCCGTACCTGAAGAGAAAAGGCTTAAAGACAATATGCTTAAGGCATATGGAACACTTACAGGTCCCATCCATCTGGATGGCGCGATGGACCAATCTGTGAACCGCTTCACCGACGCTCCGCAGTTCTTCTTCATCTTTGAATAAAATGAGTGCATGGAAGTTACCTACACAACTCATTTATACACAACGAAACAACGCATTGCAATGCTCTTACCGTCACCAACATGCCCGACAATAGTCGATTTCAAACCAGCCTTAGCAAGATCCTCTTTGGTTTCATAGACTAGCTGCGGAAGTCGGGAAACCGGCACGCTGTAAAGTAACCCACGTCATACGCATCATTGAAAATCATCAAGCACGGGAAGGCTAACCATACATCGGTTGTCCAAACTTTTGAACCAGGTTGTGTCGCTAACGTCGAGAAGAGAGCCTAATATTAAACAATCGTCACAATATTATGGCAAAACAATCGCGGTTGACGCACATATTTTCGATTTTCCCACATCTCACCTGCCTCCTCCTCTGTTGCCGCGAATTCGAATCGAGTGCTGCCATGACGTTGTACAATCTCTTGCACGACATTGGAAGTGTCACGGATAGATTCAGGGGATCCTTGAATCTTGAAGAAGAGAGTATCCTGCACTGGATAAGGAGCATCAACCAACCCAGCAGTGTTAATGGCTGCCATCACTGAAAGCACGTGAACAAGTGTCAAAGACATTAAACTAGTCTACTCGCTGTGATCGTCCAACAGCTCCACGCATTCTGGAAGGAAATGTTTCGGTAGATGAAACGAGATATAACTTGCCACTGACGTATGTGGGGACCGTGTGGAGTATTCAGGATCTGCTGAACGGCGCTGACCGCTTTTTCGACGTCAGGGAACTGTGCCATAGCAACTTTAGTGGGCACTCTAGGAGCCAATCGCAATGTAGCTGGAATAGTATTGGAATTAGAATGTCATCGCGAGTACCAAATGCCAGATTTACCCTCTGTGACTATTCCAAGCGTTCCTTCAGCACCGATGAAAAGTTTGGTAGTATCGAAGCCAGCGGAAGACTTGCGCGCCCGTCGGCGGGTCTTGATCACTTTGCCAGATGGAAGGACGACCGTCTAATACAGACTTTGGTGATCCAAAAACACTCTCTAGAAGACTTGGATTGAACTCACGATATTGAGAAACCATTCTGCTTTAGCAGTTCCATATCTGACTGCATTGGCTGTATTGGGATTGGGGTTGATATATGCAGCGCTATAACAACATAAAAAAGCACCAACTTCCTGAACACCCTGTACCAATCATGCCGCCGATGGTCTGTAGCAAGTCATGATTTGAACAAGAAAAAATTGGAATACAGAATGACTTACAGCTCCAGGACCTGGGTCAAGCTGTTCAAGTTCAAAGTGAGTTCATAAGCTATGGCGAATCGTACGCACAGGGAAGAATAGAGGAATACCCCTGTCTTTTAGTGTATTGTTTATGTCTTCCCACTTTGCTCCAGGTTGACACCGCAGATCACCATCAGCTTCTACAGACAGTTCCATGAGCATCGGTGTTGGAACAAAGCAGAAACACCGTGCCACACCATTTATTTCCAAGATGCTATTCATGGCAGACAGGTCAAGGCATACGCTACCCGAAGGAAACTGGCCATCATGAACGTCAACATCGCCCAAGTAACGAAAGACGATTGCTCAATTCTCACACCGGTGAAATGGCCCTCTATACTCGTAGCACCGCCGAGCGCAATGATGGGGACCTTGTACTTGCGAGAGATATTGACAACTTTCACCACGTCGTCCGTGCTGCATGCCATGACTACAACCGAGTGAGGACAACTCGGGTGATACAAATGGTCGGAGGATCCATGCACCCGGAGGGAATCTGGGCTGGTCTGAACGCGATCCTTGCCGGGGAGGGCGTCGCGTAGTTCCTCGATTGCTTTTTGAACGTCTTCGGGAGACCCGTAGGTGGGCGTTGAGAATGAGGAGCTCCCGAACACATCGGTTGTGTCTCCTGCACCACCTGCACTGGATAGCTCTTCTGAGCCACTTCTCTGGAGGTGCGCAGGTGACAGTTCTCCGAGCTCACCAGATGTAGCATGGATGGTAGTAATAGCACCAGTCTCCAGTCTTGCTGGTATCAATCTGGGTTCGCGGTACTGGAAGATATAATAACTTGTCCCCATCGCGAGCAAGGAACCCAGCACAAATTTTCCGATACGAAGAACATCTTCCTGGGTGGTATGCCCGGAAGACGATGAGTGGTGGTAACTTGCCCTGCAGCTGCGGATGCAGCTTGAACGCAATGAAAGATTATAACCCCTCGTAGCAAGCACTCTCGTAGAAAGACGGAACATGGTGTGCCGGGTGAAAGGTAGACTACTACCACGTAGCAAGACAAACGTAACGCATTTGATATAAAACAACCCCGTGAGGATAATCATGAGGTCAGTCCAATGAACTGTTATGACGTAACACTACGGCCGCCGAACTATACCACAGTGCAGTTCAATCAGGATTCGATGACCAGTGGTGACGCATTAAATAGCATCACGATGGTTGCTTCAGAGGTAAAGTACTAACATCCCCGATAATCATTTTCTGAGCAGTACATACACAGGATCGCCGAGAACGACATTGGTCAAGTGACGATATGAGCCTGTGATCGATAACAAAAGTCCACCGAATGACGCGTAGGCCGTGCTACGAAGTAAGTCATGTGAGTGAGAAGGCGGTCGACAAAAAACATGCAAGTAACTTACACAATGTCGGAAGATCCAGTATCAAACTTATAAACCTGCGGCGACCAACGAATAAAATCAAACCTAAGGTGATGGACTCGGAAAGATGGAGACGCACCTTCCCATACATGACATAGTCATAATCTTCTTCCAATCCTCTCCTTCCTTTACCATCTGGCCTCCATACGTCTCTGTCTTTGTCTTCGCCACCTTCGCCATCTGCAGTGGGTGCGCCGCCATCTCGTGATAGCGACGAAGCAAGGGCCATCGCAAAACTGTCCCCATTCACTAAAGGGAAGAGTTCGATATTATAGTCAAGCGTCAAGTCCATATCATAGTTTTTTGAACGAGCGTATAACCGAGATACTGGTCGTACACAGCACATGTCAGTCGCAGGTAAAAAAAAGTGATGTGCATGAACAAGCCCTGACCTCGATCAAATTTTTTGCCATCCTTGTCGATGGCATCGGTCGTGAAAATATCGTCAAAAACGATGCTGGATGAGGTTGAGGCCATGAGTAGTAGAAGGAATTGATTTGTGTTTGGATCCAACCAGTATTATAAGTCGCGACACTTAAAATTCAATATTCACGCGTGAATGAAGGAGCGTTTCTTGCTTATTACCGCACTGGGACATCCGCGACCCCTGTTTGGCTGTCCTTGCTGGCATGTTCAACGTCGTGCGCAGTAGCAATTGTCTTTATATTCTCCGGCCAGCAACTCGCACAGCGCTGCAAGTCAAACATTCATCTACATTTACTATCCGGAATCCACCCAAGCATGCACCGCGAGAGGTGCCAACGCCTTTGGTTTTATGTTCAGCGTCACACTGGGATTTAGGAACACGGAATAAGTGAGCGTTCTGTTTTGCTACCATTGCTCAGCTTGAACATTGTACGAAAACTGTCGACGGTAGCCTCATCCCCCAGTCATTTGCTTCTATGCTCGCGGAGAAAGGTCACACCTGCATTCAGGTCGATTTTGGACCACCTGGTGAGAGCGAAAAGTGCTCCAGCTCACAGAGTCTTGTGGGCCACTTGAGTGAAGGTATGCTTCATTTATCTGAGGAGTGCATGCTACATCTCGTCGGTTTCAGAGCTCAAAGTCAACTTGCGCCTTTCTGGAAATCCCTTCCCACCTGTAATATTCGCGCGAGGCTTTGCTTCTCTCATTGCACAGACATATATCTCTTCCCACCCAGCCCAGGGATTGTTTATGATTTCCCCTCCACTATCCAATGCGTCACTATTTCCTAGCATTCTTCCAACTCCGCTAGGAGAGTTTGACTACGAACTCAAGTTCCCCGTCGCCGTTATGGCTCATCCAGCAGAAATGGATCAGCTGAGGAAGTATAGTCGGTTGGGTCAAAATGAGTTGGTCGACTTGATTGAACATGACAACTTAGAAGGTCAGGATGCTTTCATGAAAATAGAGCAGTGGTTAGACGAACTGGGGATCTGATACCCTTTATTAAAAGGAGCTACTGTCTTCCGTATTCTAAGGGTCTGGCCAGTATGCATCATGATCTTGTTCTCCTTCTCACGGTGGTTGTTGCATTTGCTCTTAACATGATTTTAGACATAACCTGCGGAGGTGCCATATCGGTGAGAATACAAACACGCAAACGCCAGACCATGGAAAGTGATCCTGTAATGTGAACGGTCTTGTGATCACTCAAAAAGTCGTGGTTCTCAGGCTCAATATTGACTCAACAAGAATGGACGGGCCTGCTGGCCAGGGGCGAACGAATGGTGGCCCCATACTTCGACCCTGGACCTTGCATGGTATTAATATTCTCGTTTATCAAACCTGCAGACGAATGTGGTAGCCACTGGTGGTACGATGTCATACCATTGCTAGGTCTATCGACCAAACGTTGACCCGTACGACACCGTGTCCTGAGTCTGTATTCCCCTTCACTCAGCAAACCTGGGAATCGACTGAGCTCATCACAGCTTTGAGTTAATATCGGTGATTATTACTTCAGTAACTGGGTTGTTGGTATAAGTACAATTGATGACAAGATATCACGCACGAACGAGTGAAATGATTACACAGTCGTAGAATAGCATGAATAAATACTCCCTCCAGTGCCTCCACCATCAGCCCTGCTCTTTGGAAGCAGCCTGTTCTTTTTCTATCTCCTGTTGAACGGTAGCCAAACTTCCCATACCAGGTAGAATAACTTTCCACGTTCCTCGGAGGGCTAGGACTTTCCTGACCTGGTATTCAATCAACTCATGAAGTTTTGGCACGTCCCTGAGCATTGCTCGGCTCCCCATGAGCGACGTTGTCTTGAGGTTGAGAGTAAAGTCTTGTGGCAACGATATGGTCAAAACGGGGGCAGCTGATGCAGGAGACGGCGGAACCAAAGTAACCTAGAGAATATGACTCCCTGTGTTTCAAGAAGTAAAAATTGGCAATAACTCACTTTTGACTCGAACAGAGATAAAGATATTGTGAGTGAAACAGGTAGCCGAGCAAACGAAGACATGGGGTAATTAAACAAATAGGACGTAGAAAGTGAGACGGAAATGGTGTCTGTATATGACATGTCGAATTCGATCGTCTGTCTATCTGGTGAAATAGTTCTGTGCAAGGATGGCGTGAAAACTAACCGTCGGAGCGGAGTCCCCATCGTTGTCATTCACAACCCGTGCGTTGGACAACTTGGGCGCAGACATTCCTAGGTCCACAGAGTGTACTGTGATATGGTCCTATTATAGTTGTGAGTTATGGACAAAGACGATGCAGGCGGAATACTTGCTAGAAATCCGCGTGGACGCAAGTTATTCGCGTGGTCCTCAATTTTCCTGCGGGCAACCTCAATTCCCTCATATCCCGTAAGGTTGTTCTGAAGCTTAGCTCTGTACACTTCTACAACCTAATATTACATGAGATTGGATCGGAATCCGCCCAGAAGCTCAAACAACAAACCTGCCTTGCGAGTATATTGAACCAATGCGCTGACTCCTGTTCTGGAATGCTGTCTTTATCGTCCTCCTTCACGTCTTGATGCCACGAAGGGTTTGATTTTGACAGAGGGTGGAATGGGACAGTTTCCGTCTCACTTTCAGGAGGAATGAAAAATAGGTATTTGAGGACAAGCGCGAGGAGAACCAAGATTGAGAGTTGACCTAGCACGAGGCCTTGAGTGAAAGTCGGCGTGAGGGAGAAGATATAGTTGTTTCCCATATCGGATGGGCGTTGAAGGCAAGCTCACTGGCTTCAGAGAAAGCGCTGGTAATTGGCATATGTATGCGTTGTTTCACACAATTTGGCAGGAAGTCATCTTTGTTGGCAACTTATTAGCCGGTTACATGGACAATTTGCCGTATCATAAATCGTTCAAAACTTAATTCTATCAACCATATGGCTGCTGCTTTTGTCTCCTGGCCATCAGCGCCGTTGACCGAGTCACTCGTCAAGAGAGCTTTGTCAAATTTGCCTGTCTCAATCATCACATCACTTCCTGACACCCATGAATGCTCAAAACTGCTTCAGTGGTCCACCTACGATGCTATCGACCATGACCTGACACACCGTAATCCTGACAATGTCCTGTCGTCCTCTTACACCATCAGAAAAGCTCTCATTCGTAAACACTACTTAGCACGATGCATTCATTCGTACTTGACAAAACATCTCGACTCCGTCCTCAAGGATGCGGTGCCCAGGACATGGGATCTCGAGATCTCTTACGCGGATGAGCTGGATGAAATGTGGAGCGACCAACTTTGGGATCTTGGCAATGAAATCGACTCTGACACCTCTCAATGGTGGATTTTGAAGCCTGGCATGGCAGATCGAGGAATGGGTATTAGGTTGTTCAACAGCAAGGACTCGCTATATCAAATTTTCAAAGAATTCGAAGAGTATTCCGAAGACGAAGATCAGATCGATGACACCTCTGTAATAATATCACAACTTCGTCATTTTGTCATTCAGGTCACAAGGTCTCTTTTTTTGCGATATAATGCTGACTGTTTTTTGATCACAGGAATACATACCTAGTCCGATACTCTTGGACCCCAACGAAAGGTCTCTTGGCGTTTCTGTGTTGAACCCACCGGAAAACTTGCAAGGACATAAAGTCAATCCACTCTATCTTCTCCTCGTCAGCTTTTTATGACGCTGACGTCCAGTTCCATCTACGGGCGTACTTTGTTGCATCAGGAGCATTGCAACTCTTCATGTATGATCGTGTTCTTGCTCTGTTCGCTGCTGTTCCGTATATCAGTCCGAGGAAAAGGAGAGATGTTAACGATGACGCTCCCGGAAACATCGACTTGACACCTCATCTTACGAACACCTCGCTGCAGATTGATCGAGGCGAGAAAGGCGTCCATTTACTTGATGAACTTTCAGGATGTCATATCCTATCTGGAGATGATACGGATCGTGGAGCGTTATTTACCCCCGAAGATATTGAGAACATAAAAGTTCAAATGGGCTCTGTTCTCGCGGAAACGTTCAGGGCCGCTTTAGAAATGCCTATACACTTCCAGGTAACGTGATTTGCTGCTGATCCTCTGCCTTGGTGTTAAGTCTTGATGTCAGCCGCTTCCAAATGCGTTTGAATTATATGGAGTCGATTTCCTGGTGTCTCATGACTCAACTGGGCTTGATTCATCAGGCAATTCGCAATTCTTTCAAGTCAAACTGCTGGAAATCAATTCAGAACCCGCTATCGAATTAACAGGTCAAAGGCTACATAGAATACTCGAAGACTTGTTTGTTGCGATCGAGCAGGTTGCAATACTACCCTTCTTCAAACAGGAAGTTGGATGCGTACCAAGCATGGAAGTGCCTGTGGTACCAAGGCACTTGCGAATGTGTCTTGATAAAAAGGTTCGAGGATCTGGAGGTTGGTGAAGAATTAGAAATTTGTTACGCATGTATTCATCCTAAAATATACACTTGCCTATCCAATGTGTTGCATGGATCACGACACTGAGCTCTCCTCCTTTATGTTTATGTTTATGTCGGATGTTGAAGGCCTTTTTCGATTGTGATCATGCCTTTCATCGGTCTCAAAGCCTCTTTTCCGCTTGTTATTGGGAAAGGTACCATCCTTCACGCCTTTGGGAAGATCCTTGCGTCTTTCGAAGAGCTGTTTTGCGAATTCTTGGTCGTAGGCGACACGTCGGATACCAAACATTTCGATTTGAAGAACTCCGTCCCAATACATCTTCTCCACCATTCGCATCTGCGAAGGCGGAATAAGGTCTCGGAATAAGACGGTGTCCTTAGCCATCGCTTCCATCCTCTTTGGGAGCTGTTAGTCACTATTGATTGTTTGAATCGAAAGTGACCTACTGGAGAGCTCAGCTTCTTGGTGTGCTCAGCTGAAAGAAGGAACGATTCGCCTGTTCGTTCATAGGTGCCAAGATACTTCCAACCGTGGCCGTCGTGATAACATAAGTCTTTCTTTTGACCAAGTTCAATATCTGGACGGACCCGAATCCATGCACCATTGTTCTTTTGGGGATTGTATTGATGCGTTGGTCTTACGATAAGGCCTAGGGCGATTCCTGCGCGGGCGAACATCACGACATCCCTCTCAAGGCGGAGGGTACCGTCACAGCGACTGTGACTTGTAGGTTAGCATGCTGCAGATCTTGCGAGTGAATAGACCAACCAATGAGTTCGAGCTGTCTGTCGAGAAATGTCAGTAATAGCTTAAGAGTAAAGGCTATCACGAACCCTGGGAATGCCCATGGAAAAGATGGGAGAGTATACAGGGATGTCGCTGGAATTCGGTTGGTCACCGACAGTCGGATACTCTGTATTCTGAAAGAATGAAGGTGGGTCGGATTTGCTGCACGTCATTTCACTACGAGCGTTCACAAAGAATATGGTCTGCTTACAGTACTTTTCCTTCTGACTCTCGGTGCTCTCGTTCTTCTAGACAGAGTTCAAGTTGGCCGCGTAATTCGTCGATGACCTGCGAAGAAATTTTAGGCTTCATCCAATATCATACGTTTGCAAATACCTCTTGGCACTCTCGTTTGCTCGCTTTGAGCTTCCGATATTTTTCACGAACGCTAGTCAACTCCGCAAGTTGTTCATCTGCCTTCTCCTAGTTGGGTCAAAGTTTGAGAAGTACTGTGATATGTGTGGTCCCGATATACCTTGTCCAATATTGCTGTGTTTTTCTCCTTAATCGCGTCAGCCAGTTCTTTTTGAATGACGTCCATCGACTGTTGATCACGATAAGATAAGAAGAGCGCACATCCAGCGACAAGTTAAATACCGCAGAGTATTGCACTACAATATTTGAGGGATCGCCCTCCATCTTGAGCGGAACGTTTGTTGTCTGACCCTGGAGACGTGAAATTTCCTCTCGAAGGCTGGCGTTCTCAACCTTTAGTATGACTACCTCTGCCCGTAGGGCTTCCTCGCGCTGAAATTGTGGACCAGTTGAGATGCCATCGCTTGCAGGAGTCCCAGTTCTCTGAAAGGGCTTGCGTATGAGCTATCATGATAGTCTTACAAAGAATGACTCGGGCTATTTTACCTGCTCAGCTTCACGAAGTTGGCTGCGGACAACCTTTAGTTCCTGCCCCAGAAGCTTCACCATTTCAGCTGCTAGCTCTGGATCCATAACATTATCCATATTGAAGTACTGACGACTGACAGGAGTGAAAGTGATGAAGCACACGCAACCGACTGAGGTTGTCACGTGTTAGTATTCTCTCTTACTGTCTACACAGCAACTGCACAGTGCCACAAGGCATGGCAATGCCATTAGAATCAACGTCTTCAACATCAACACCGCGCAAAAGAGGGAAATGGGACGAGGAAGATCCAGATGATATAGCAATTCGCCAACAGCAGCAATCATCGAAACGCCCCGCAAGGACCAGGTCTCATGGCGTGCGTCCACCTAGTCCCGTGCGTTCAGAGTCGCATCCTACTACCACTGCTCGTCCTTCCCGTCCATTACATAGCATATATGTTCCTCCTCGAACTCACCATCCATCAATACAACCATCTCGTTCAGTCTACTGTTATGAAAGACTCAATCAGATCGAAGAAGGGTCTTACGGCGTTGTCTTCAGGGCGAGGGATAAGGAAACAGGCGATATCGTCGCACTGAAGAAATTGAAACTTGATGAGGAGAAACATGGGTTTCCTATCACTGCCCTACGTGAAATCAACGCTCTCATGTCATGCCACCATGATAATGTGGTACGAATCAGAGAAGTTGTGGTCGGAGATACTTTGACTCAGTGAGTAAAGCATCTCAGAAATGTCACAACATCACCACGCCCACATACCAGAGTATTCGTAGTGATGGACTTTATCGAGCATGATCTAAAAACTCTTCTGACACTCATGCCTTCGCCCTTCCTGCAATCCGAGATCAAGACTCTCATGCTTCAACTGCTGTCCGCGGTCGCACATTGCCATTCTAACTGGATACTTCATCGCGACCTAAAGACCAGTAACCTGCTCATGAATAATCGCGGGACTATCAAAGTTGCTGATTTTGGCCTTGCGAGACGGTATGGAGACCCTGTGGGTGTTGGTGGCCTGACACAGCTTGTTGTGACACTATGGTATCGGTATGTCAATTATTTTCAACATCATGATCGCAGATGATGCATCCCTCAAGGGCTCCTGAAATTCTAATGGGAGCTACAACATATTCAACTGCTATCGACATGTGGTCCGTGGGATGCATTTTCGCTGAACTCCTCCTGAAGGAACCGCTGTTTCAAGCGAAAAGCGAAATAGAACTTCTTTCCATGATCTTCAAGCTTCTTGGATCTCCCACTAGTCTATCTTGGCCTGACTACTCCACTCTTCCGTTGGCAAAATCCATCACTCTTCCCTCACCTCAACCACATCAATTTCGTCAGCGTTTTCATCATATGACAACCGCTGGTATCGACCTGCTTGTGTCACTACTCACCTACGATCCCGAACAACGTATTAGTGCTGAAGAGGCTGTACAACATCCGTATTTCAGGTCAAACACCTCTTATCCTCTGTATATTTGCAGGCTAACGCGAGCAAATGAAGCGAATCCCCACTTCCAAAACATCCAGATCTATTTGGCTCATTTCCATCCGCTGCTGCGGGCGATAGGTACGTGTGTGGGACTGCGGATGCTGGCGCTATATTCAAGTTAAACATCATAGACGCCGAAAGCCTTTCGACAGTCCATCAGCACCCGTACGGGCAGCAGACTACAAACTTACTGAAGTCGATCTTCCGTAGAAGAAACTGTAATATATTGCATACAATATTAAAATTTGCTCCTCGTAAAATTAAACATTAATGGGTTGCTATGACTCTCCGATACTCGACAATATTTGTCGCATCTTTTGGAAGCGATTCTTCGTGCGCTCCATTTCTCCACACTGGTCATAAAACTCTTTAACCTCTTCAAGTGTAAACCTGTACTCCGTGGCTATTTCTTGTAACGTCCGGTCGATGAGATGGACGCCAGGGTCCAACACAGTCCCTTGTATAGAATCTGAATCACTGAAAAATCCATGAGCCCATGATATTCAATAACTGCCATGACTACCCACTCGGACTTCATTCTTTTACGAGAGTTCCGTGCTTCACTTTCTTCACTGGCGGGTCGCTTCCCCCACTTTGGAGGAGGTTCATTGCCGATGCGAACCGCCCACTCTTCGCTGTCTTCACCATCCTCCAGTTCTTCCTCTGCAGGGCTTTTTCGAACGAAAACTCTTGATGTAGATGGTCCTGACTCAACCGGTGACGCGTCGAACACAATCACGGGTACTTCGGCGCCATTGCCGTTAATGCCGCCAATTATCATTTCCTGTTTATGCAAATTCTGTTCCGCAGGTTTGGTGCGTTTCTTTCTGGGTCGTTTGTTGTTCTCTTCATCTTGCCGGACATAGCCATACTGCCCTTGTTCCCCAGGAACTGGCTTCTTCTGGTCAACGATTTGAGCGATCATAGTGTCTAAGCGCACAGCATTCTTCTTGTAACGCTCACGCCAAGATTGCCATGTATGACGCGAAACCCATGCGTATTCTGGGTCCGCGATCTAATCTTCATGAGCATGGTGATACTGAGGTAGTAATAGAAAGGGTTCACCATTTCGCACAGTTGTTGATAGAGCCTATTTCCAGTCCTTCCGCCTGTCTGCTTGTATGGTATCTTTGCTGCAATCCATTCACATAAACGCTGTTCGTCATCTTCAGTGAATGGCGTTCTCCTAGGAGGACACGTCGGTTTATGTTCTGCATGCAAGAGCGAGTGAGATACGTACTCTTCCCCAGGACGTCGGCCGCCAGGGTTCTTGTAGATGAGAGGGGTGTATACAAGAGAACCCTTCTCAACACATTTCTTTACCCACAAGTACGATTCGACATGTTTATCCGGAATGCCTTGGTATGTTTTGACAAGATGTTGAAAGACTTCTGTGTTCGGGTCCGCAAGAATGATTTTAGCAGACTGCGGAGATGAAGTAGGGTCGCCACCGGAATGCTGAAACAAAATCGGCATAGTGAGCTTGAAATAGACGAATGAATAAGTCGTTGCGGGACACCGCTCACCATGATTCTCTGACTTAAAGTTGTGCGTGCATTGATATTAGCAATGCTAGGATGAATGTGCATCTTGACGGGCAAGCCGTTTTCCACAAAGATCTGCTTCAACTGCATGCCCGCAATCTTGCAGGCTTCCACGTATGTATACGGCACGAAATGGCGTTGTGGTCGATCCTGCGCCATCCAGCACAGGCGAAGACGCTCTTCCTCCGCAGTACCAGGTTGGACCAGTACGTATCCCTGTCTTGGAACCTTTGCTTCGACGCGACCACCTAATGACTAGAAGCAAATCAGACTACTTATACTAGATACTGAGATGCTACAACTCACAGCTACGACTTCACACAGCTCAGCTTGGATTTCCTGAGCAATATCTTTCTGAATGAAGAACTTGATGGCGAGACCATTAGCATCCTGGAATATGGGCTAAAATGCAGAGTCAGAGGGGCATGAACACAGTGTTATTTGCCTACCATAACGATGTGCATTGACTGGCTGACACTAGAGAGTAGTGGCGTTAAGAAAACCCTCGATTGAGGTTAGGGTTACTAGGGCCAACTGAGTTTAAAAGGCAATCTGTGACCTTGTGTCACTGTGGCAAATGCATCCGACTGTGGGTGGAAACGTCTCTGACAGATGAAATTATTATATATAACCTAAGGAATAATGCGTGATCGCAGGCAAGTAATGTAAACTAGAAAGTACAAACCATCAACTTTAAGAGGTCTACATAAGTGTTTTTATTATATAGAAGCTTTCATCTCCCTCAGCTGCTTCGCAATATCCCCAGGATTAGTGCTCTGCAGAGTCTGCACCACATCCTTCCCGAATTTCATCCGCCAGAAACGAGTCCTTTTGCTGATTTGCACCTTGACTTCGAGCTGAGAGCATGGGGGGATTTGTGTTAAGGAGTGACGGATGCCAACTGCTACGTCGGTTGGGTATAGTGATCGATCTGTTAGAGATATTGACTCGGGGTTGATGCCGACGCCAAGAAACTTGTCTGGTTTTTCTTCTCTGCACTCCATATTCGAGATTTTGTCAAGGGTCAACTCGGCCGCGACCGGGTTCCCATGAAATTGTGATCGCTTAGGTGTCGAGGTGAGTAACAATGTAGGGGGTAGTGGATGTAAAGAGTCCTGAGAACCACAGGGAGCATTTGAAGTCGACATCAACGAATGATAAACATCATCGTGTCCGTTTATAGAAGCCGCGATACAGCCTGTGGGTTGAGAATGAAGGAGATCTGCCTGTAAAAATGCGGATCAAGCTTATTTTCTGAAAAATAAGATAAAGCGAACTACAAACCTCTGTCTGTGGAGGGTGGAAAACATACGGGAGCTTGCCGTCTATGACATTGACGGCACGCTCACTGCGGGTTTGCGGTCGCAGAACGCCTTCTGTATCACGCAGTGACATACTCTTCCTTAGCTTGCACGAGCTTGGAAGTGCTGGTGCCGATTGGGAGTCTTCTGTGGGGTCCAAACTCCGCCATCTCCGGTGGTCCTTACTTGAATGTATTGAAAGGCTGTCTACCAGACTCCTGGATTCGAGTATATTTGTTGGAAGAGTGGAAGATAAAACCAACTCCGGCGGAATATCCTCGCCCAAGTGACGAGTCAGTTTAGCCAACCTGGCCATTTGCAGTTGCCTTATTTTCTGATAACGTGCAACTGTATCATCACTTTCCTCGTCCGTTTCATCTTCAACAGAGATTGGGAGTGAACAGGATGTTTTGTTTGTGGGCCTCTTTGATGCTATGTCCGTAACGCACGTCGAAGGTGGTCGAGGTAGTGTGCTAGTGAAGGGGGTAGCATGCTGCGAGGAGGATGTCTGAGCGAAATTTGACATTGATGATAAATGTCGCGAGTGATTTCGCGAGGGATGTCGAACCAATCGTTTACTGCGACTGCTGCTATCGGATTGAGTCGGGATCACTGGAATAATGTTCGTTGACTTGTTGGTATTCGTACCCAATTGAGGGAAAGAAAATACTCGGCTCAGCCTTGCAGTAGTGGGCAGAGGACCGTCACAAATTGTCTGTGATTTAGCCTTCTGCGAAATGGTGTCGAGTTGAGAGGGGGGAAGTGATTTAGCAGTTGCAGCTGGTTTGCGACGCATGCTGTCCTGTGATATACAGCATTGAAGCTCGACAGGGCATCGAGTAGTGCCAGTGCTAGACGAAATATGTTCTCTTGGCTGGACAGACATGGTACCATAGACGATTTGGATTGTAGAATAAGAACGAGAAGGTCACTTCTTTTCCTCGAAATCAATCAGGCAACGAGCAGATAGTGAGACGGACAGCGTACTCACCTACAAAGGCTTTACAAATTCTACTTTGCGAGGAATTAGCGACAAAAGGGGGACTGTGTCAGGATTTGGAACGTTGAAGGCTAGGTTTTGGGCTAGCACCGTTAATAAACAAACGGCGAGCAGCGTGAGGATCGCAAGAACCTGTTGACAGCTCGGACCTACTAGGTGAGTAAGATGTACGCAAGGTTGGTTGGCCTTGGATTGTTTCCATGAGTGCCTGTGGCCCAGTGATTTGACGGTGGCAACATGGTACACAGCTGTGTTAACGTCATGGCTACTCTGGATACAAATTTCTCATGGAAGTATTTTAAACATCCGTCATATCAGACACGATGAATAGCCATGGTCACATCCGGTGCCGCGGGGGTCCCGGACCGAACAGGTTACCGTTACTAGTATAGTACACGGATACTAAGTACGCGCTTTTTACCTCCAACTCACTCACCCACTGCCCGGCATGCTTGAGGGGATACACATGATGTGGCGTCCACGTCACTTCACAAGTGTCTCTGGAATCCCCTGGCCAGGTGACAGTGGGGCCAGGGACTGGCACCGTCCCCGCATGACAACGATGAATGCAATAATTATTAATCCAGGAACACAGCATGCAAGTCTTGGCCTAGTACAGCTATATGCCCAGCAGCGAGGAGTTCGCATCATAATGGTGAACACGGGTCGTTCACGGAGACCAGCCTGTAACTGCAGTTGGAACCTCAGTTCAAAACTATGTAATACGAGGAACAATTCAAGCGATATAACGTAATAGTAGGCGAGTATGTAGATTGTCCAAAATTCAATGCGAAAGGAACTATCCAAAAGAAGAATCCTCCCGAGTCACCGTGGATATCATCCGGTCATTACAACCATTCCGTTGAGTCTTGCCAAACATTGCCGACAGTCGAATGTCTGGGGGCAATTTGACAAGCGAGACACGTTTCGCCGCTCGAGTCTTATTCCACTCCTCAGCTTGCTCTTCAGGTGATTCTTGCGCTGTGTAAAACTTCTCGTAGACAGAATGGGGAGTGCTGTTGTCTTGTACGGATAACTCTAGAGAGCTCCGCATAGAATGAGCCGTCCGAGACTCCGAGAGACTGGTGTCGGCCTCTAGGAACGGGTATCCCGAGCCTTCCCCTTCAGTGAGAGGAGAGTCCATGATTCTCGGTGTCTCCAAGACGTTCGACACAGAAAACGTGTAGTTTGTCGGCCAGTCTGGACCGAAATCTAGAGCAGACCGGAAAGAATCATCAATGGAGGGCTCCAGAGAACCCGGTATGGCTTTGGAAGATGATCGCCGCAACGACATGTCAAGCGATCCATCATCGGGCGATGTTGTCGGCTCAGGTATACACTGTCCTCGACTCTGTATAGTATCCATAGCGGCGCTCAAAGCAATCGTAGCTGCCTGTTTGAACCCCTGTTCCTCTGCTGCAACATCGTTTAGCAGGATATTGCGATGACAAATGAGCCTAGCAATCTCCAGACGCAACTGGGAGATCTGCTTTGCTACATTTTGTACTGCATATTGAAGCCGATCTCGCGTTGACCGCTGAAAGGGTGTCAAAACTGCTATGTTGCGAGCGAAGTGCATCTTCGTTTCCAGAAGTGGCTGCGCTACACAGATCCGATCTTCGAGATCGCCGATGGTGGATTGAAGGAGAATGGTGCGGTTGCTTTGGGGAAAGGGATTGTCGTCGGCCGTCAGGGAAGAGCGATGCCCAGGGAAGGGAGCATCGGCATCAGGTACGTCATTCGAGGACAACGACTGATCACCCAGACTGCACCGAGCAGCAGCCAATTGCGCTTTCACTTGGTCAAACGTAGCTTTGAACTGGGATGCCCCTTCTATCTCACGCACGACAGGAGGTTCATGGGTGATGCCACGCAAAGCTTCGAGTTCCTCCGAGTTTAATCGCTCGACAGCATCTTCTGTACTTTCGTCGGTCGACTCAGTATCACGAATGTGTGAGCTTTCCGAACCCCATGTCCGAATTTTGGGCTGCGGTTGCTGCACCACCCGTAAGTCTTGGAGATATGATTGCGCAGCAGCAACCCCAGTTAGCGTCACCTCCCTGCCTGTCATGCCAGGGGGACGCATTCGTATCCCAGCAGACTTGAAAGCACTAGCATAGTTGATGCGCGAAACCCATTGATTGACCTCCAGTTCACTTGAAGCCTGGAACAAGATCTGGCGTCCATCAGCTAGGGCCAGGCGAAAGGTGTTTGAATACTGCAGAGACCTTAGCATCACACAGAAGAGCAATGAAAAAGAAATACCTTTTGATATGACTGATCGAACACAGCGAATGCGTCCTTCACCGACAAAACCTCATCGGGTTTGCAATGTATGGTCGCCTTGTTGGAACAATCCGAGGATGACAGAAAAGTGGCAGCCCATGATGGATCACGAAAAAGAAGAACTTGCGAAGTTGTCAAAGCAACACCAAACGGCTTCCACTTGCGGCTCGAGGGTTTTTTACCGCCTTCCAAGATCTCGTCTTTGCGATTCAAAACAGAGACTTTCGACAGCTTAAGCCGCCAAGTCTCTTTCTGAGGTGGTAAGAAACCGGGGAGTGCGTTTGTCCCCATAAGTGATGGACTGGGGACGTTGAGGCCGAACAACCCAGAAGGCAAGCGATTGTGTTCAAGGCAAGTAATCTCTATCGTATCGCCTTGGTCAAAGGCGGACCAAAGTTCGTCATTATTCCAGGAACCGCTTGTTCCCTTCCAACAGTATGGGTTATCTAAGGGTATGTGCTGTTCGACATTCACGCGGAGCGAATCAAGTAAGTGCTTCAAAGTAAAGTGTCATTGATAGTGCATTGAAGAAGTGAGACTACTTACATTGGTGATCAGATAATACGGATCAATCTTTGGTCTGCTCAGTAGAGTACCTCCTATTGGTGTCATCGGAACACTGGTGGAAGTAGGTCGTGAAAGACTGCCATCAATTGATGGACGAGAGGGATCCATAGGGTCCTCGATAAATATGAAAGGAGCGAAAACAATATTATCATAGAAGCACTAAGGGCGTGCATCAGTTTTGAGGAGTTAGAATGGTCAATTTACAACATACATCCAGCACTTCGGGTATAACTCCCGAGATAGCCGTGTTTTTCTGATAGTCAACTTTTGACATCTTACGCTTATTGGATTTGTTGAATGCATCTGTGTGAAGCATGATGAGACTGAAGGCAAGAATGTATGGGATATCTAAAAGTCTAATGAGTACAAGTCCATTGCCAATACGTGTGTGAAATCGTGCTTACCGTCGGACATGAATATATCTGGGTTGCACTCAACGTACCGCTTCGCAAAAGCTTCGATCACCCTATCGATTTGCTGTGTTTCCCGAGGAAGACCAATGTGCATCAAAAGCCGACGCAGAGCAACGTCCAGAGGATCCCCAGTGAAAGAGAATTTTCCGATATAAAGTTTGAGAGTAGTTACATACTTGGCCTCCGCACTGAGAACCAACTCAGAGTGGTGAAAAGTGAAAAGTGATGTGATGTACCTTGATCCCAACAACCCCGCAATATCAGCTTTACCAACAAGAGCGGAAAGTCTCTTCAAGAAGGCCTCGGGCGACTCGTCATGTTGAGGTTTCAGCTCCTGAGATGGTACCGATGAAAGCAATTGGGGGCGTAATCGAGAAACTGGCGAGGCGCTTATGGAACTGCCGGAAACTGTCCCAGGTTTTACTGAGGCAGTAGATGATGCAAAAAAATTGATCGAAAGCCGGTGCAGGAGAGGTGGATTCGTAGCAGAACGTGGTCGATTATTTGCATGATTGGCGGAGGTAGACGAGGTGAGACTTGAGAGTGCGTTTCCAAAGTGCGGGGTTTGTGTGGAAGGACCGGATGTTGTCTGTGGTGATAGAGTAAAAAATGAACGAGTGCGTGAACGGACAGAATCGGCAGTCAAGGGGCGGCGCAGCGCGGGTCGGGGTGGATGATGGGAAGGGAATGTTGAATCGGCAGTCGTTGAATGATGCTGGGACAAATCAAATGCTGATAGAATATTGGGTAATGCAGGTACTTCAGAGTTGGAGTTGGACGGACGTCTGGAGAACTTCTCTGAGTGACTTCGTGTCAATCTTGAAGTGGATCGTTGCAGTGGTTGCCGAGAAGATGAAGGAGTATCCGAATGGAAGTCTATGTGAAATGGTGATGTCGGCTGCAATGCTGGAAGGGATAGAGAATCAAACGGAACTGAAAGCAGCTGCTGCGAAGATTTAGTCGACGCCTGACGAACAGGTGATGCTTTGTTGTTTTCACCAGCCGGCGGTGGTTCCGCATCTTTTCGTCTAGAACTAGATTGCCTCTGGCCGAACGAAAAACCACGAACTCGATCTGCACCGTCGAGAGGCTGCGTTGACCAGTCTGCCTGTTTATGCGAAAGGAATGATTGTGTACTTCTGGTGTGTCGTAGCGGAAGGGTCGAGTTGCATTGGTCGATGCCCGTAGGTGAAGTCGTGACAAAAGACACTGTGTTCACTCCACGGGGAACAGGATTATGATATACATCGAAATATAACGTTGACTGTGTATGTCTGGTTTCAGCGGACGTTGGAGGTGCGTCTGCTTTTGGCAAGGTAGGTGAGGGGGCGAATCTATCTGTGGATATGGGCGAGGACGTTTCTACAGAGTTGGGATTGCCCGCTACACTCTGAATCGGAGGTGTTGGCGGGAGCTCCTTGTCCAGCATAAGTTTTGAGGGGTTGCTCCGAATGACGCCGAGTTCAGAGGGCATACTAGCTAGACTTCTGCGAGCAGACACGGAGGCAGGTAGTACCTTTCGTGTCCAGTGAGGAAGCGAAAAGAAACGAAGGGGACCATGACTGTTGTCACTAGTACTCTGAGGTTGGTGGCCGGCAGATTGATTGGGTGTAGACTTGTCGGGGAAGACGCAAGCAGCACTTCCATCAGGATGGGGCGGCGAGTTCAGAGTAGTATCAGGATGGCAATTGCCCGTCGCTGGGGAATTCCTGCTTCCTGTACCCAGAAAACCAACCATGCTGAAACTTCCAGACTACTGTAAGCGGTTAAACTTCTACAAGTGGCTGTGATGAGGTCTAGTGACCGGCGATGATAAGCACCGCCGGAACAACGATGCCAGTTTAGTGGAAAGAAGTTGACTCAAAAATCGTGGGCATGGGCGTCAGTCGCGCTCACCGGCACGAACGTGATTTCTAAGAGCTAATCAGCTCACACCAACGAACTTTCAAAATTACACCGTGGCCCACCAATCATTTTGACTCGGAGTTAATACTTTTCGTGGGATTCAGTGTATATTTGCAGACAGTACGGTAGCAGTAAGGACGAGCATACATAGTTCGAACACCATGCTTGAGCTTAAGACTACGACCAATCTCATGATGCCCTGGCCTTCCTTCGTCTGTCCTTCTCAATCTTCGTCCTCTTTTCTTCGAGTTTGGCGTGCTGTGGAACTGTGAGATTAGAATAAAAACCCCATTAATGGGATAAGGACGGACCTCAGCAGCTCGTTTTTTCTCCCCGTACTTCATTCTTTCGTACAACTGGCGCTTGCGTTTACTCATTAGGATCTTGTTCATGTCTTCCTCACCACCGCCATTGACAACAGCGTCTCCCTTGTGTTTCTGCTGTTTCTGCTTCTTTTGTACCTCCTTCTCGAATGTGCCAAAGTCGACACCTGCTGCTTCTGCCGCAAGTTCCGCCGCACGCAAGGCCTCTGGGTCGTCTGCAGTAGCCACCGCCAAGGCAGCCATCGATTTTACGTCTCCCTCTAATTCCGATCCCATCTCCACGTCTTCTACCTCCTGACTGTCCTCGCTGAGCTCAGCGTCATCAACTTCGATCAACGAATTCTCGACGTTCGCCAGGCCGATGGTTGGGTCATATGCTCCATCTCGTTCGCCAAATGGTGATAGGTGGGGTGGAAGTGTCTTTCCTTGGGCATAAAGATCCTCGAGTAGGATTTTACCAGCGTTGATACAATCAACCACCCACTGAGGTTGTACATACTTCCGTCGTCTTCGACGTTCTTGTTCCTGGGCTGTATCACCCTTGGCAGTGGGTCTGTCAATAATAACGTGGGTGATTGCCTCATCATCCTCCGTAAATGGTGAGCCACCTCCCGATGAGACCGGCCAGCCTATACGGCCACCAAAAGACCGGATGAGGAACTCGAATATCGATCGTGATGATTCGCGTGATAGCCAAAAAGTGTATGGTGCAAATATATTTGTCGATGATAGTTTTGGTAAGGATGAGAGTGAGAGAAGTGTAGGGAGCGACGACGGTACATCAAGATCAGACTTTGAAGCTTGCGGTACAAATTCCTCCTCAGCGGCATCGTGAAAGGAATCAGTGCGATCAATATCTACGTCATTAGGAGGCACCGAGGATGATTCTGCAGTGATGCTCTTGATTGTCTGTCGGACTTCCTTGCTGGATACCTTAGGAGTATCGCTCGTCGGTCCTCCAGTGGCTGCTGGGTTCACTGGCCGGAGATTGAACGCTCCAACGCCAGCTCCAGATTCGTCCCTGCCAGAGTCCAAGGGTGGCGGATATACAAGTCCAGCGTCTGTATATAACTTGAAAAACACAAACCCAAGTAATGTCTGGTACAGTTCGAGGAAGGTAAGCATAACACGGACATCCACATCGGATGGTATCTAAGCGAAATGTATGAGCAACATAGACATAGATTCAAGAAGATAGCTCACGTTCTGTGGGAATTGATACGGTACGAGCCAGGTTACATTTTGATCCATTATTTCTGCTTGGTAGTATACACCCTTGATAGACAAGAAAACATTCCGTAACGACCGCGTGTGCATGACATATAACTGCCACTCTGCGGTCAAACGGACACAGTTTTCGATGAGAGCAGGCGAAACCCGAGGATTCGAAGGGAGAGATGCAAAGAGATGGATCATGCAAAGTGCATCATCGATGTCTCGTACTGCGTCGATAAATGATGGGTATCTAAACTTGATCAGCCAATGCCCTTCAAGACGCCCTGCATTGCATACCTCTCTTTAATAATATGATCCAATCGGTATACAGGTTTATTATCCTCCAAGTTCTTCGCAGTTGACCACTCTCCTCGTCCAAGTGCTCGAGAGATTTTTTTCGCGAAGGCTTTGTGCTCCCTCAGTTTATTCAGGACTGGCTCGTGAGCGAGGTAAGCGATATCTTTCGCATAGTAAAATGACGTCGGTGCTGTTGACCCCTTGTTTGCCCGTTTCTTATGTCTAGGCTCACGAGGGAAGATTCCTGCACAACTTTCAGTGGATTGAGTCTGCGAAACAACCAAGACGACGCACCTTTGAGGATACATAGTCGGCGAAAGTCAGCCAGAGAGCACTGAAGTTTCTTCACAGCAGATGACCGTGTAATATAGGTCTTTGCTGCGCCAGCCTTTCCTTTTTGTTTCAATCGACCCATGGCGGTATTTTTGAGCTATTTCTTGCAAAAACTTGACAAAAAGCTTGATGTATACTTTCAGATTGATTTTCGATCGTTTGTTTGGCCTTGACAAACAAACGCTCCTTACAAGCAATCATGAGGTAGGTGACAAGGCTCAAGGCATCTAGATATTGGCTAATAACTTTCCAGTCAATACGTGCATGTACCAAAATCAGAACTCGACGAAGCTCAGCTGCGCCAGCTGGAGGAGCACGAAATCAGCCAGGGACCCCTTTCAGTTCTGCAACAGGCAGTCCGCAACCACGCCCAAGTCCTCATCTCTTTGCGGAATAACAAGAAGCTTCTCGCTCGTGTAAAGGCCTTTGATCGCCACAGTAATATGGTGTGTCACTGTTTAATATTTGTCTACAAGTTTTAAAGTTGATATGCTGCAGGTACTTGAAAACGTCAAAGAGGTCTGTTTTAGTCCATCACTAGCATAGGCCTTACTGAAGTACGATGCAGATGTGGACCGAAGTCCCAAAGGGTAAGAACAAGAAGCCAGTCAACAAGGATCGGTTTATCAGTAAAATGTTCTTGCGGTGAGTGACATTTTCATATGTGCTATCCCAGCAGGGTGATGATTGTGATCTGTCAGTGGAGACTCGGTAATTCTTAGTAAGTGAAGACACCCTGAAATATTTCTCTCATTTACCACGTCCCTTAGTTCTGCGCAACCAAGCTTAGATCGACATCCAACAGTCTGCAAGGGCCGAGGGTACTCTACGGCCCATCTCGTCCCTTTTGCAGCTCTACTCCATGTATACCGCGGAACATGGCACCGATATGATTGTTGCATGTCCTTAAGCATTACATTGACGTAATTTGGGTATCCCTGTTGTTTGTATGGTTCGCTTCACTTAAAAATACACTCCTTGCAGCGCTTTGAGCGTATCGGAACCGCGCTCAGGGCAATCTAACTGAAGCTTGTTACCCCGAACATCTCTTTTTTTCAATTGTAACCTCTGGGTCGATCCAGAGGCTGGTCTACATGTGAACAGTTCTTCCCCAATGCACGCAATGAGAAGGGTCGTCTATGTCATCGGCTCTAGACCATGATGATGCTGCTAGGCTGACCAGTCGGATGTGTGAGCTGTATGGATTTACCAGATCGCTGAGGTTCGCCGTGCGGCCCCTTGATGTATTTTCTTAAACCGTCTCTCCAGAGCAGCGTATAATGGGTCGTTCGACAACACGATGCTTGAAAAGAGTGCGTTATCATCATCATCTGCTATTGAAAGCGATACGTTTGTCCATGGTATAACTTTCGGCCAGTCAGCATCTCTGACCAGATTACTGAGGCACGGTCACTTTTGTAGAATGCAGAGCTTCCAGGCGCCACCACTTCTGGAGCGTGCCAACCGGGCCTGCACTGGTTAAGGGCACAAACGTTGGGTGCCGATTATATTTTTGGGTGGAAAGCAACCAGGATCATATTAATCCTGACATCACTGGCTAGGTAATACAATTGTGAATTACATCAGTCTCAACGTCCTCATACTACTCATTCGGTTTTTCTCCAGCTTAGGTTATTCTCAGCTGGTGCATATATCGTACAAGTCCTTCACACTAGGGCCAGCTTGTTATTTGATTTACCGCATTACTCCGACTAAAATCGACCGATATCTGAACTACTCACCTTTACTCGAACCGTATTTCAAGCTTTCCCGCACACTGCAGAATGTCTTCATCAACACCCTCGGAAAGGCTCTCCTGTGAACATCATTTTGGATGCAATGACAATATGTCTGGAGCCACGAACAAAATACAAATGGCTGGGCGCAATCGGGAGCTGCAGACATATTTGGTATGATCATCTCTATTATACCGAGTCACAAGCACTAACTGGGGTGCGTAAGATGTCACTGGACGATATCGACTTGGGAGACGAAGCCCAGGATAAGCTATTCACCCAGTACACTATCAATACAGTGTATGCGAGCTATTCTGCAGCACAGCATCGAGTTCGCCAGTACACTCATCTCTTGGAGCTCCTTCAACGCGAGGTGGATGAGTGGGCAATGAAAGTAGAGAAGGCAAGCCATATTATGCCGGACTACAAGCCTGTATGGCTTTTACACACGCAGTGAACGTTTGTCTCGTTGCTGGGTGTACTCTATATCATTTTTATTATCATTAGTGTTGAACGCGTGCGACACTCACGGTCACTTGTTTTATTTCATTCACTTGGAAGGATCCTTGCTGACTTGAATTATATTGTTTCTTTTCATCCCGGCGTCACTCGGCACAAGATTCGTTAATCTTAAGCTTTACCCCCTTATTATACTCCAAACTGTTGTCACACCTAGTGCTCATTGACGAATGAATGATATTCAATCACTAGTGACTACTACTAGTAGGCTGACATGTCACCGGACTCATGAGCAGCTTAAATAACCTCCAGAAAAATTCGCGATATCCAGGTGCGGATGCTTGCGCTGCGAGTCCTAGCCTCCCTAACGCAGGCAGAAATTATAATTTCTCCTACACCTGCAGTTGTATAACCTCGGAGAATATGTATTTGCCCATCATGATTGTGTTCTAGTGGGTCATACAAGACACAGATTGACTAAATCATGCAAGTAGTCATAGAACATGATGGATTTCAAAACGGCACAAGTTCGTCGTCATCAAGAAGACGACCGACACCAGAAAGGGTAGAACTTGTCAGATATTCTGAGCCTTCTGGAAGATCTCACCCAGGCCCCAGCACATGTCAAGTCGAAGGTAGATGGGAGCTTCGGACGATTAACGCAGGTAGGTCTTTCGGCCAGTAAGCTTGGAGTTGATGCTGAACATGCAATTTTGTCCCAAAATCGTACCTTTGGGCCTCTTGAGTGTGGATATCGTTTCAACGCTGTTAAATCCGCTTTGTATAACCGTGGTCTTCGCAAGTTGTTTCAGTATCCGGCCAGTACCTTCGACTATTTTAGTGTACAGTGGAAGAAGTGTGGCCAGAGGCACCAGGCAGTTGAGGAACTTCCTGCGGTTTAGGGAATTATGCGGGTACGAAATACGGGTTTGAGTTCTTCCCTGCAATATCCCACGGATATTGTTCTTTGTTCCTGGTCAAAGGTCAGATCTAGATGAGACCCCAGCCTTAATCACGGTCATGTTATTCAAGGAGAACCCCACACAGTATCGCACACCCGACCCACCAAGAAAGCAAGAAACTGCATTTCGTTGCTCCCTGTTGCGGACGGCAAGGTCCAAATACAACAACTCAGGGGTGTAAAGGTTCAACTCATTCCTAGTGCTCGCTGGAAGTCCAAGGCACCCTGGGAGAGTTGTGAACAGAGTATCCTGCTACGGTCACATTTGAAGTACCCACGCCGTTAAGCTATGTCTGGTTCATCAACTGCGACAACGATGGACACTAGATTTCAATTTGAGTACCGTGAGTAACGGCGTGAAGCTTGGGCCCTAAGCTGAGATCTTAAAGGACTTTTAGGAACGATGTCCTGAGTGAGCAGATAAGAGGAATAGATATTGTTTATACTTATCATGATATACTCTTGGGTTGAAGTCGTTCAGGTTGCATGATATGAGGAACAAAACCTTGCCACAAACCAAAAGTAGAAAGGCATGTTCAATTAGCGACGCAGTCATGCGTAGTGAAATGAGCCGGTCTTCGTGCTACTGTCAATGCTCGCTTCTTGTCAGGATATGAACGAGGGTTATAGACAATACACCTTCACTATGTAATTTGCGATGAGGATGTGTTGTTTTCGAATTGTTTTTGGCATCCGTCCTGATGGATGAGAAGAATGTGGACAGTTCGTATCTGATCTTTCTTGTCCTGACTGGACTCGGAATCATCATCCTGTGTGCATGATCCTGCAACTTGCAACGAAGAAACCTCCGGTCTTTGAAAAAATTAGGAGCCTTGCCATCGCAACAGTGCTCTTGTGACGATATTGCCTATAGTGCCTGAAGCTGTGATGTTGGAAGTATTTGCCGAATCTCTCGACGAGCCATGGTAATTTTTTGTTCTATGACAGCCTAACCTACGATGAGTACCAGAGGCGTGAATCACCAAGAATAAGAACTCACCACGTCCGTCAGCCATTTATTGCGCTCGATTTCGCTGCGAAACCAGGCAATGGTCTCGGACCTTGCCCGTGGGTCAGGTATATCTGATGAGGGTAATTAGCTGTAGTAATGCTTTTTCAGAAAAGACGATAGCGCACATTTGGACGCTCTTATAGCATGACGATACAAGTGGATAACTCTCTGCTGCAAAATGAAATACTTGAGACCAAAATTTGGCATGCGCGCTCTTGAATGAGGAAATTGTGGCTAGAATTAGAGTTGCACTGTTTTGCTTTTCCGCTCTTCAAGTCCGCGTTGCTGGCATTGCTATTGGGATTTTGCTTCTCTCACAAGTCTCTTCAGTCTCTTCAATATTCCATTTACACCACAATGTCTGGTGTAGAGAACCAGGTCGCTGCCCATGACGCTGTTTTCGCAGAGGATGGTACTATTGACAACTTATCTGACGCTGTGGCCAAAGTTTCTCTCCGACCAGACAATTCATCTTCTCAATCACCAGAATCCGTTACTGACACTCTCAATAAAGACAAAAATGATATCCATAGTCGACCCTTTGTTATGTATTCCCGACTTCATCTACTGCTTCTTCATAAATCTCCCTTGGTCTGTACTCCGACTGGCATGCCAGCTTTGAAGGATTGGTTTGGGTTCGTGTCATGTCTTATTCCTCGAGCTTGTGGCTTATTCTACCTCTTAAGAAGTGAGAGCGACCAAGGCAATCTCAAAAAAGATTCAGAAACACTTCCTCAGCCTAATGCTCGTGACCGACGGTGAGGTCTGCTAATACCACCATTTAAGACCTACCTAACATCATGACAGCTTTCGTAGAGATGCGGAGGACGGGGGTAGGTATCATTATTACCTTCGCTTGAGACTGGGTCTAATCAGTGTCATTAGAAGGCGCTGCTCGACCTTCTTTTCGTGGGGCTGCTATCACGCAGCCTTCGCAAATGGGCAACTTCAAGCACCAGTCCATTCGTGCAGCCGACCGAGACAGAGACAGAGATACGGACAGAGAACAAGAACGTGATTCCCGGGTCAAAGACGGTCAAGAAAGACTACGGAATGTAAGTGGCCGAAGCTATTGTGTGCCAGAGCGCTCATATGTTATCCAAGTTGTCGGACAAGTATGACCGTGACCGTCGTGCTCTTTCTTCCATGCAGCAGCTTCGAGGAAAGGATAGGGACTTAGCTCCTCACCTTGGTGGTACATCCTCTCGAATAGCGTCCCAGTCGCAGCAAGCCCCGAGTAATCGTCAGCTGGATTCCCGAGAACCTTCCAAAAAGAAAGATGGTGAAACAAGTGAAGATTGGAGACGTGGTACGTTCGATACCTCACTTATAGCCTATGTCACTAAGTCGCGGAATAGAATCAACTCGCACAGGTCGTGAACGTAAGACTGAATTTTCTGTTCCTATATAATGGCTGTTCATAATTCCTCTAGGTTCTGATAATCCTCGGCGTGATCGAGATGAGCGTGACCGACCTCGCTCAAGAGTCCGTGACTCTTCCCGCCCACGACGAGATGTTTCGCCATCGAGACGTGATCGGGATGACAGGGATCGTGATCGCAGAGGCGACCGCGATGACAACCAGAAAGAGGCAGCGGGATACCGAAGGGACGACCGTGAATTGGATAGAGAATCTGAAGTGGACGATCCTCGCCGCTGGAGGGACGACGGAAAACGTGATGAGCGTATGGCAGCGAGACGGGACCGCGAGCAGCGGGACCGCGAACGAGACAAGGACCGGGTACGCGACCGCCCTGCCGCGTGGGATGCTGGCGATCGTCAGGATCGTCGATGGGCCCCCGCCGATGACCGTGATGGTCGAAACAAGCGAGCGGCTGGCCGCGAGAGAAAACCCGACGAACCGAAGGACAGGGACGATCGTAAGGATCGTGATAGAGAACGTGAGAAAGAAAGAGAGAAAGAGCCTGCATGGATGGACACATACATCCCTTCTTCTGGCAGCAGCGGTTTAGGCCGTGCCCCCGGAGACCTGGATGGCATACAGGCATTCAAGCGAGAGATTAAGGAGAGAGAGCAGAAGGAACAAGGCACTGCTGCACAAGACGGTGATCGTTCTGGTGACTTTGAGGGGAAGGCAAATACGTCCGAACCCCACCTGGACGAAATCCAGCTCTTCAAGCTGATGATGAAAAGGGAAGAACAGAAGAAGAAAGCTGACCAGTCTCCCCTTGCGGGCCCATCATTACTCGCAGACACATCTTCAGAGACCAAGGGCTCTACTCCTACAAATGGCAAGTCAATTCTTTTTCTTAGGCAGGCTCGATGTGCTAATACACGGATAGATCTGACATCGATCGAAGCAACTACAGAACACCGCACTTATCTTCCTCAGCCAATTTCTTCGCAGTTGTCTACTTCTCCACCTTCGCCACAGGCTGAGTCAGCTCTTCACGATGGTTCTCGTGCACTCCTGTCTATGATATCGTCCTCGTCGTCTTCCATTGCACCTGGAGTATCAACAGGTGCCCCCGAATCTGACATCGACAAAGAAAAACCAGGAGGTTCTCGCTTCTTCCCCAAGCCTATTTCTACTGATTTACCGGCACCTCAAGCTTTGCCAAAGCCTTCTATCGAAGTGCTCAGCACTGCTGTCCCATCAGCTCCTCACGCTGCCCCTCCGCCAGGCTGTCGTCTTCTTTCTTTTGCCTCCAAAACTCCTCAGGGGTCTGTAGGTCACACCTCTCCCTCCTACACAGGCTCGCATTCCCCGGTGTCTGTGTCGAAGAATGGCACGCCAGTAATCAACTCAACCATCCCCTCAAATGGACCTCTGTCAACTATACATCATAACGACAATCCGGATGCCGTGAGAGTAACTCGAGGCTTCTCGCCGTTCGAGGAAGCTCGGGAAGGACTTGGATTGTCGCCTTTGGATGCGTTCCGTCGAACCTCTGTCGCACCTGGAGATCGCAATGCCTTTGGACATATGACCGTTGAACAGGTTGACGTACCCATTAGCGGGCCTTTGCCTAGCCACTCTGTTTCGTACGAGCAATTGAACCCTGGAATCGCAGCCGCGAAAGGCAGCCGGTTTGCAAAGTTCTTTGACGGGAAAGGGAGAGACTCTCAACCAGGAATGGGAAAGGCTCCAATGGGCGGCCCAACACCAACTCAGAGGGGCGAGCTCAGTGGATATAATGGAATACACACGGGTAATCCAGATGCCAGAGCTATGGAAGATATATTTGCCATGTTGAGCAATTCAGCACATGTAGGTCGTATCACTGCCTACCTGTTATCAGCTCTGATATCAGTTTTAGGGTCAGAGGCCTCATATTCTACCAGAAGCGTTGGCTTCAGATGCCGCACATTTCAATCATCCTTCCAACCTTCACCATCTTCAAAACCAACTCGGCCACTCCCAGCACTATCCTGGCCACACCCGCCTGGACTCATTGTACGATAGCCGTCTTGACGACAGGAATTTTGTCCCAGATGGCATGGTGCCCGGCTTACGCTCCGCTGCCCCTCCTCGGAGCAGGCAAAATAGTGCCATGCTCTCTGACATTGATGACTCTATGCAGTTTGGTGGTCAACGCGGTCCTCCTCAGATGTACCAAGGATTACACCAGGCGAACATGAACCGCAATGGAGGCATACCTCTCCAATCATCCCAATTCCGTGGGGGCCCTTCACCGAATCCTTTGCAGCCTTCAGCTCAACGCCTGCCGCCTGGTTTGGCTAATTTAGGTGGGCGGCCGCCTCATGAGCCTGCTCAATTCTTGAACTCGGCAATGGCTATCCCTGGTGGGTTACACGGTCCGGTGCATGGTAATGCTGCGCTCCAACAGCAGTTCAATAACTTCCCTCCAGGAGGTGTTGGCTTCAATGGCGCCCCTCAAATGCGTGTGCCCCACCCCGGAGGAACCCATCAGCTGCACGGACACAATACCATGCAAGGCCTGATGCACCCTGGAGGTCTTAACCCTGCGCAAGCCCAACTTTTGGGGTTAAATGGTGCTAACGGTATACCAGGTAATCTCCGTGGTCCTAACGGAGGTTTTGGACAACAAGGTCCTCAAATCCAGCCGCCTCTGCTCTCTATGAGGCAGCAGCAACAGCAACAACAACAGCAGCAAATCCCTCCACACATGCTTCCTCTCCACTATCAACAGCAGGGCCCGCCTGGCCCAACCAATCAACCCGCGCACGATCTCATGGCGCTCTTGATGAGCGGAGGAAGAAGGGAGTGAGAGATTTCACGGACTACTTACGGTCTCTTAACCTCGCCGAATATTTTCATCCACTCTCGGACTGACCTGATATTTTTCTTTCGTTAGTTTAACAGTTGTGCTCATACCGTCCGTCTATCATGTTTCATTCTGATTCTCCACAAGCGTATATTATTGACCATTTTGGGCTTTTGCTGCATTGAAGACTTCTCCGATGGATGGCTGTTCAATCCGCGTCTTGGGCCTGGTGAATCATTGAAGAGCTAGCCACGTCAAGTCGATATTAATAGCGGGTCGTAACATTGAGGTCTAGTACTACCTGGACTGAACAGTGGTCTGGTCTGATCCTCCCGAACGTGAGTATTTGAACGCCACCATCAATTACGATGGGCGGAGGACCTGCGAACAGATACTGATGGTTCTCGCGGCGTTCTACATTTGGGTAGAAATGAATGGAAGGTCTACTAATAGTAACTACATAAAGAAGGAGAAACTGTCTACGTACTTATGGGTCTCTTGAGTCTTGAGGCTCGCGCCGCACTGGTTCTGAACTTCTGTAACTGCTGTGCAAGGAGTCCTTGGCAAAATGCTTTACGAGGATAACGATTCTGGCGACTATCAATCGCAGATTCCCTGACGGCGTGCACTTCAAACTTTAACAATTGCCAAGAGCTTGTTTGGAGCCGTTCCATAACCCATGTCTGAAAATTCCGTAGTAACCACGAGATCAGTGACAGGCGGCGCTCCTTACTCACGGCTCTCTTCACAAGTGGGATCACCGTGGACGGTCGACGAAAAAAAAACACTCTATCTCCGAATCACATCGATCCTCACTGCAAGCCAAGTAGTAATATCCAACCGATGCAATACGTAGAAATTAAAAGGGGAAATTACTGTCACGGCCGGATGGATTTCATGGGATGATGGCATGGGCTGTGTTGTTCTAGTAGTTGATGGGTCCCTATGACATAGATGGCGCTGGCGCTCAATGTCAACGACAAGTCTTCTACTCGGCTCCACTCCCAATGATGTGGCATTCTCCTAGTGGGCCGCTCAAA